CCCTAAAACAGAAAAAGACAAATTACAAAATCGGTTTGAAAAGAGCTTGGTCGGGTTCATGTTGGGCTCGTTCGGGTCCTCTCTCGGCTCGTCCGAGTCCAGCTTCCTCCTCTAGGTCCGGGTGCTTGATCGTGCTCACCTTGGTCGGGCTGAGTACACCCGATCGGGTCCATGCTCTGAAGTGTTCGGGTGTGCCTGCTTTTAATCTAAAATGCAAATGATATGCAAATGTCTATGCTAAAAATCCTAAATGTAAAATATAACGGAAAAGGGCTGATACTTAGTAGAAACAAGACTTTAAACATGCAAACAATGCACAAAACATATGCTTAAAAGAGTAGAAATATGAAACCACCACCGTTGGAAAGCTCTGAACAAAAGTGATAGAATATGTCCTTGTACATTACAAAGTTTTCACCTTGGACAATAGTGTTACATCTTTTGATGATTCAGGCATAAGTACGAAAGTCAAATGGAAGCCATACAAGTGATGAAGATTTCATTGGTGAGGGTTTTTAAAGAAGGCTTGACAAGTTTCTGAATTTGCAATTTATTTTTCCGAACTTATTTTCAAACATTTACCTCATGATCTCTCGGCTTTTCAAGCGGTAAGGCATCAAATACTAAGGCGCAGTTTCTTTTTATTCAATACTCTAGATAACCAAACCTATCTATATTATACTATCGTTCGTAGATTAAAGTAACCAAACCTAAATGATTCATCATTTATTGCACTAAAGAAAAGTAAAAATGTAGATAAAGTAACCAAAAACTGTTCGTAGTGAAAGCAGTGTTGCAGATTAGAGACGGACAAAAATGCTCAATACCACAAGCCACCTTTTCCCACTCAACCACTAAAGGAAAAATGGATGGAGATGGTTGTTACAAAGACAGTAAATCGCTCTAATGCAAATACCTACACGAAAAAATAAAGAGGGAACAATAAATTACAATCTTGTGATTACAAGGATTTCCGATTCATGACACATAACAACACAATAATCCTAAATGTTTCTCTAACAACATAGCAAAATAAATCAATCAACATACCCGAGAACATGTTATAAACATACCCCAGAGATGGACTGAGCAAGTATTATGAATTTTCTAAAATGTTAACAGACTAAATAAAATCAACTAATTAAAAAACTTGTCATTCCAAATCATAACCTTAATAATCCACAGTGTTGTGTTCCAATATATCCATAAAATATTCAGAAACCAAATTTCTAAAAGTTTCTTTTTATATACAAACAACTTTAAAGCTTTTGTAACATGCTTCAAAAGCTTTAGGTCCCTTTAATGCTTTCTCTGTGTACAGTAACAATATATTTTTTGTTTTGGAAAGCAGTAAAGGTCAAACCTAACCATATGTAATTCAGTATAAACATTTTACAGGAGTTAGTGGGTACAATTTAGTGTACAAAGATATTAGATGAGTCGTCCTTTATGATGTTGTACAAAGACATGACAACTAATTTATCCAACGAAGAGATAGTATCTGTAAAATTGGGCTTTCTGGATTGCAAATAACAGCTGTTTTTTGAATGCTGACTGCGGTTTGCCTGCGGATTCCACTACTGAGTATATCAAAATAGGAGAATCTACGGCTATAGAGAGTTTGAAACGACTTGTCATGCTGTTGTCGAGGTGTTTTCCATCCGCTATCTTCGACCACCTAATGCCCTTGATGTTGCAAAGCTACTTCACATTAGTGAACGTTGAGGATTTCCAGGTCTGTTGGGTAGTTTAGATTGTATGCATTGGAGATAATACTGGGACCATTTACAGAATATTTTTTGCCTTCTACGTTTTTTGTGTGATTTCGTACAAACAAAAAGAACCGTAATTTCCGGGAGCGAGAGATATATATGTATACCTAAAAAAGAGTAACAGAATTATCGTAAGAAATGAATCTGATCTCCAAAGAAAACGAGCAAGACCTATATCTTGGAATTATCTTATTTAACGCTTCCCTACCAGTTCTTCAAAAAAGCTCTTTCGTAGTACCAAAAAAAAAGAGAAGAAGGGATTGTATAAATTTTTTTGTGGTAAGAGCAGATAGAGATAGAACATGGAGAAGACTAGACTAGTGTGTGTGTGTGAGTGTTGTGTGGGACCCTTTGAAACCGCGTAGTGGATCTCCTATTATTTTAATGGATTTGGCATGCATATTTTGGTCTACCATGATCGAACAATGATATTATTGTGTTAGAGGCATCTCATCTTTCTGCTAATCTAGCTGAAAGAACTGCTCCACCTGCTAATTATGTTATAATATGGGTTATTATCTAGCTGATGGTATATATCCAAAATAGTCTACTCTTGTTCAAACAATTCAAGATCCACGTGGACCCTAAAAACAATTATTTCCAAAGAAGCAAGAAGCATGTAGAAAAGATGTGGAACGTGCATTCGGAGTATGACAGTCAAGATTTGCAATTGTGGTTTCACCATCACATTTTTTGAGTAAGAATATGTTGCATGATATAATGACAACTTATATCATAATGCATAATATGATCATAGAGGATGAATGTGTTGTTGATGTAACAATTGAAGAAAGAGCTGAGGACCCAACAGTATAAGTTGAAATGGCGACCAACGATGATGCTCGATTTCAACAATTTTTAACTCGCCACAGACAAATCAAATATGGGGAAGCACATATTGAATTTCGAAATGCATTGATTGAGCACTTGTGGTCCGATGTAATACTAATTCTGAAAATTAGTAGAATGTAATTTATTATCAATTATTTTTAAGTTATCGAATGGATTTTATATTAAATTAAATCAAATAAATTATTAATGAAAATAAAGATTATTTATCAAATTATTAAAAATAAAGAGTATATTTCTTTTGAAGAAAAAATAGAAATAAAATTATAGTTTATTAATATAATAATTAAAAGTTTTGCTTTTAGTGTAAAATACGGTGTTGTGGTTGGAGATGAAAAAACTTTTAGAACACGAAAACATTAAAATTGGTGTTTTGGTGTCATTGGGTTGTAAGACCACCCACAATGGGAGAGACCCATTGTGGTTCTTTGTAATATTTATTGTATAAATTTTCTAAAACTTAAAATGAAGAGATGATTATGGGGTTTTTTAAAATATAGTCCTCCAATGGTAAGAACGTTAGGGTTCTTTAATTTTTTTTTATAATTTTATAAATTTGTTTTTTTTAAATTATTGTATTTTATTAATTGACTTTTTAAAAACTTTACACAGAAGAAAATATAAAAAATAAAAAGCATACAAGAAAATAAATACATTAATTATGTTGATTATTTTCAAATTTCTGCCATATATTCTCCACCAAGTCGGCATTCAATTGTTGATGTATTTTTCAATCACGAACTCGAATCCGCATGACCATCAGATTGCCAAGATTTGTCGGCATATCTGTAGAGTAAGTGAAATCTACATGTGATGTTTTGTGTACTTCAACTTATGTGATTTATGTAACATCAAATTGAGTGTACCCGTCTCGTTCGTCTTCTACTATAATATTGTGCTAGATGATTTATGCTCTCATAATTTTACCTATTATGTCCTTATCCAAAAAAAGAGCAGGGTTTTTCACAATGGCAAATCGAGCTTGCAAGACTCCAAAAGCACGTTCGACATCTTTATGGACAGCTTCTTGATGTGTAGCAAATAAAGATGCCTTTGGACCTTGTGGAAGTGGAATGGATTGAATAAATGTTGCCCATTTAGGATAAATATCATTAGTGAGATAGTAAGCCAAGTCATACTCGTGCGTTGACAAAAAAAGTTTACGTTTAGAGTTCGACCCTTTAATATATCATCAAAAACTGGTGAACGTTCTAGAATATTTATATCGTTTAAGATACCTGGAGGTCCAAAAATACTTGTCATATCCAAAGATCTTGCGAAGCTACAGCCTCTTGAACGATTGTCGATTTTCCAGAATCACGTGTATATTGTCTTTCCAAGCGGTTGGGCAATTCTTCCACTACCAATGCATACGATCTATGCTTCCTATCATCCCATGAAATCCGCGTATCTCACCAATATCTAGTAGTCGTTGAAGATCTTGTGGTGTCAGTTTTCCTAAATACTCATCTCCGAACAATTGTATGATTCCTTCAACAAAATATATTAAACATGAAAGTGCAATACAGGAATATTGGTTTTTTATAGCATTAAAGTATAGCCTTTTTTGTAGCTGTGCTATTGATAACTTATTAAAGAGTTTGTGATAGCGTTTAGGAAAACTAAACGCTAAGATATGTTTTCTATGTGACAAGAATACGCATGCATGTTATTTTAAATGCCTTAATTGTTTTGTTATAGCAAATGCTTATTAAATCGCTATCGTATGTTTGGCGGGATATAGCCAATTATTTTGGCTCCAAAATAAAAGTAAAAAATGTTCTAAGTCTGTTTTCCCTCTATCCTATCTCGACTTTTCTAATTCTCGAATGTTTTCCCTTTTCATCTATCTCTTCTTCTTGTTTCTTCTATCTCTTTCCTTCAGAATCTCTTGCATTTTCACTCTTAATCTCACTGTCAACCACAAAAGGAAGCAATTACGAAGATGTGATCTTCGTACAATTTAAGGTTATTGTTTTTAGTTTTTTGTTCCAATTCAAGTGTCGATGTGTTATATTATTTAGGGATTTGATTTCAGTTTGGGATTTATTGCCATTTGTGGTTTATTTCAGTTTGGGGTTTCAAAATTGTTTGGCTTTAGTTCTGTGAATCAACAAAGTTCTGATTTGTTGTTTCGTTTTACTTAATTGACTTGCAAGTAATTGCTTGTTTCTGCACTTCGGTTTTCGATCAGACAAAGATTAATAAGGTATTATCACACTTGTCTCTATAATTGGTAGTATCGATTTTGATGTTGGTTTCAATTTTGGTTTTGGGTTTCAATTTTGGATTTGGGATTTTGTGTTTTGATTTTGATTTTGGGATTTTGGGTTTCGATTGAATATGTTCTTCGTTTATCAGTTTTAAAAATGGCAAAGACAAGAGGAGGAGGACAAGTTGGTCCTCGTCGTAGTAGACGTAATAAAGGCTTGGAGGTAGAAGAAGTAACACCTAAAGTTGCTACTGCAATAACACTAAAGGTGAATAAGAACATAATAGAAAAGAAAATGGCTTCCCTTACGAGAATAAGTAGGAGAAACAAGAAAGTGGGTGCTCAAGATGATGAGGTAGAAGATATTACACCGCAAGCCGATGCGGTTGCATATGTAACACCGCAAGATGATGCGGATAAAGACGTATCACCAAAAGTTGTGGAAGAACGCAATGAGGCTGAGAAAGCAATGTCTGAATATGAGGTTGAGAAAGCAATGTCTGAAGATAATAAAGAAGATTCTGAGATAGAAGGAGTTGCTTGTTTGACTGGACAGGAACAACAGGACAATCTAGAATAAGCTACCAATATGAAAGAAGATGGAGTTGGCAATGATCAAGAGAATGTGGTTTCTAGTACTGAAGGAATTCAATTACCAGAGGATGGAGTGGAAGAAAAGAATAAAAGAGGACCAATGAAGATGCGTGAAGTGGCTGAAAAACCTAATGAAAAGGTTGCAGTTACTTTCACTGAATTTGGCGATCATGTTGGACCTGTTTCAGTAACGTTATCATCTTTTCTTGGTGCTCTTGTGAGGGAACACATTCCGGTTACACTTTCTGATTGGAGAAAATTTGATGCAGTGAGTAAAAAACAATGTGGGAAGAAATTCAGGTATATATATATATATGCAACTATTTTCGATGAACAGCTATGAAATTATAAACATGTTTGACCTTTGCTTGTTGTGATGCAGGGGAGGTTTAACTTGCAAGAATAGTGGCAGAAAGCTGTTATTTTTAAGCAATTGGGTAATTTGTGGAGGAGTGGGAAGTCAAGGCTAGTGTCAAAAGTACGTGCTGCGAAGACTGCTACTGAGAGAGTATATTTAAAACCCAGCAACATCCCATCCATTCAAGTGTGGAACTCTTGGGTTAGGAGCAAGAGTACCACAACTTTCATGGTTATTTTCTACAACTAAGTAACTTTCATATTCATAGGTCATGTTTGATAGATTTAATCACACTCATACTTATATTGTAGGAAATAAGTAACAAGTACAAAGAGATGAGAAAAAATCAGATTCCTCACACCACAAGCCGCAAAGGAATGCTTTGTTTAGCTGATGAGCTCTTAATAATAGTTATCAATATCTATATATTGTACATCTTGTTAGAATAAAATGGTACTTGATAGTCATATGTACTTTATATAGAAAAAATGTTGAGGAACCACTACAAGAAAACAAGGCAAATTTTGACGGAATTTCCGAGGGTAAAAATATCTCAGAAATTTCTGACGGGTTTCCGAGAGTTTTCTGACAAAATTTCAAGGGATTTCTGATGAAAATACGGTTCCCAAAAATCCCTTGGGAAATTGAAAATCCGTCGGAAATCCCTCAATAAATTCCGAGGGGCAAACGTCTATCGAAAGTTTCTCGGAAATTTAACTAAATTTCTGACGAATTTTTGAGGGCAAACGACCGTTGTTTTATAGCAAGAGATTTCCGAGGGATTATTAAGAACTTTCTTTGCATATAGCCGTTGTGAATAGATCCGTTCGATTTGCCCGTCGCAATTTTAAAATTCCTTGGAAACCCCTCGAAAATCCCTTGAAAATCTGTCGGAATTTTGGCCTTTATAAACTCAAATGAGATTCATTTGTTTGGAAAACGAAAAATAGATACAATACCATGAAAATGTTTTATTCAGATCCTTATGGTTATTTTTGTTCATGGATGGATAAACCTAGATACAATGAAGAGACGGGTAAACTTACATAAGAGTTCAAAGAATGTCTTAGGCAATTCATGTTATTCGCATCAAACCAAAGCATAGCGATAGAAACAGGTACTATATCCTATCCTTGTCCAAATTTTCGGAATTATAGAATTTTTGAGGTATCAATAGTAAGGAAACACTTGTTTAAGAATGGATTTATGCCGGGTTATAAGATATGGGTTTTCGCATGGAGAAAGTGAATCAATGGTAGATTATGGTAGTACTAGTCAAAATTATATACCTGATAGCGTAGAGGAACCATCAAGGGAAGTAGATTTAGGTACATTTCAGATGGTGAATGATGCATTTAGGAAAAATTCCCCCTCATTAAGTCAGGATGGAGAGAGAGTTGAGAAACCGAATTTAGAAGCCCGGAGATTCTTTGATATGTTAGATTCGGCAAATATGTCATTATACGATGGTTGTAAGAATGGTCATTCACCGTTATCAGCTGCAACTAGGTTGATGGGAATAAAGACGGATTGGAATTTATCAGAGGGTTGTGTGGATGCAATTACTGATTTTGTGAAAGAAATTTTGCCGGAGAATAATCTTTTGCCAGCTTCGTACTACGAGGTGCAAAAACTTGTAGTTAGACTTGGGTTGCCATATCAAGTGATAGATGTGTGTAGTGAAAATTGTATGATTTATTGGAGAGAAGATGAAGGTCGCACTTCATATGGGTTTTGTCGTAAACCTCGGTATCAGGACACAAGTGGAAGAGTTCCTATATCATATAAAAGAATGTGGTATTTACTGTTGGCTGAGAGGTTGAAAAGATTGTATCAATCAGAGCGTACATAAAGATCAATGAGATGGCATGCAGAACGTACATCAGACGGCGTAACTGCGCACCCATCGGATGCAGAAGTTTGGAAACATTTTCAATCAGTCTATCCTGGATGTGCGTTTGAGCTAAGGAACGCTTATCTTGGTTTGTCTGATTTAACGACGGATTTCAATGCAGAAATATTTATACTCGCTTTGTTTTTTCATTCTTGCGGCAAACCCGAAAATTCACCAAGGGTTTTGCGACAGATAGTTCCCTCGGAAGCATTTATATATATTCAATAACACATGATTTTTTTCCTCAGCCGCTTTATTTCTATCACTCCTCTTCGTCGCCGTTGGACCACTCCGTCGACGCCGTCGCCGTTGGACCTCTCTGTCGCCGCCGTCGCCGTTGGATCTTCAATCATCATCAATCATAATCTTCTCCTTCCCATCCTTTCACAAGCTCAAAATCATGTAAGTTTACAAATATTCAATGCTTTTGATTTGTGATACTAGTTTTTATTTGTTAATATCTTGTTAGAATTAGATTTTGGAATCCATATAATTAGATCTTGATTGGATTTGGGTAGATATGGAATTGGATTCAGGTTTTGAAATGGAATTAGTTTTATGATTTGTATTAGAATTAGTTCTATGATTTTGATTGGAATTAGTTCTATGACTTTGATTGAAATAGTTTTTGATTTTTATTGGAATTAGTGAATTATATAAGTTAGATTTAGTTTTATTTATATTTTAGGAAAAAATTTGATATTAAATTTAAACATTCTGATTGGATTTTGGTTTTAAACTTGTTAGCACTTAGTTGGTTTTTAACTATTATAGAAAATAAAAAGTTAGATTTTAGTTAAACAAATTTTTTAATAAATGTGATATAACAATTATTTTCTTTAATCATACATTGTTAAATATTTATTACAAAATAATATATTTATAAATTTATCAACTTTTCCTATTGTTATTTCTTGATTAATTATTTACTAAATTTATTTTTTAGGTCTTATGAGGAGTTTCAAGGGACGTCATCTAACCGTTTCCAAACTCGACGATCACAAAGTGACTCACCATCACAATCTCCTTCCAATGTCCCCGAGACGAGGAATTCCGCTCCACCACGGATTATGACGATTTAAGAGTTTGTTAATCAACCGGGCCATCAACAATTCCCGAGGCTTCACCCGGAAGAAGAAAACGGAGGTACATGGTACTTAATTTCATTTTTTCTACTTACATAAAATTGACGAATTTGATTCTTAACTAATTAATATTTTCCATGTCTCTAGGTTTGGATTAGAGGGAAAGATCACAACTATTATTTTACATGATTCTTAACATTTTAAAGGCGCAATTGAATCAACCTTGTCCAATTTACGGGGATGTCGACGAAGAAACCAATAATATATGGTTCAAGAATTTTGCGGTAAGTTAAACTATTAATTATTATTTTTGTCTTCAATTTATTTTAATTATACTTTTTCCCATTTGTAGCAAGATTTTAATTGGGAAAGCGGTCATTCTACAAAAGTGAGAAGAGCTTTTGTCATTCAAGCCAACAAATTCTACCAAAATCACATGTATGCGTGGAAGCAGAAGTGGAAGGAAGACAAAAATATGCCAAGGTGTCTAAACCCCGAAGTTTGGCAAGGATTTATCCGCTATGGGAGTATGGATGAGACGATGTCTATTTCGTAACAAGCATCAAAGAATCGTAAGAAGGAATGTGGTGGAAAGGGTATAGCAACCCCTATGGAGGTTCCATATCCTTCAAAAAGCATGAGAGAAAAATGGTAAGTTTTCAATTAAAATTACTTCTATTTAAAAATAAATTATACGTTTTTATTTGATATGTTATTTATTTTTCTTTAAATTTAGATCATCGCAAACGGAGCCGTTGCGCCGGATTGGATAGTTGCTATGGAAACAACCCACACAAGCAAGAAAACCGGAAAAATTTAAGATCCGGTTGTCGAAGAAAGCATAGAAAGGATTAAGCTCCGGAAGAGGGAACAGCTAACGTAACTCTCTCAAGATGGCTCATCATCTTCAATCGATCTACCTCGTGAAGAAATCAACCGTTTGTGTATTGAGGTATATTTGAATATATTTTATTTTACTTTATTATTTATTTTAAACAATTAATTATAAGTTTTTTGTTTGTTTTGGAAATTCCTTTAACCAAAGGTCGGAGACCCGGATTAGGAAGTATTGTGTCACAAGACGGGAGTATCTCTTCGGCATTTCCCCGAGACAATGAACTTATTCAACTAGTTCAATATCTTAACCGAATCGTGAAAGACAAAGATGAGTCGGACGAAGAGTTGAAGCAACAAAATCTCAAGATTATGAAACAATTCACCGAGACTCAAACAACACTCTCCCAACTTCAATGTTTTATTTCTTCTAAATTCATGGGACAATTCCTGCCTCCCTAAAACTATTTAGTTTTTTCTTTTTCAAAACTATTTTAATTTTGTGACTATTGTTGTTTATTTGGATAATTTGTATTTGGATATTTTAATTTTAGATTTTTGGATTTTTAATTTATTGTTTAAAATTTATATTTTCATAATTATAATCAAAATTAGAATTTTGATAAAAACTCCGTCGTCGTCAGAATGCCCTCGGAAATTCAGGTCCTCGGTAAGTCCTTGGAAATTAACTTTTGGAAATTCCTCAGAATCATGTCTCTTGGAAATCCCTCGGAAACAAAAATCCCTTGGAAATTCCTCGGAAATGTCACTTGGAAATCCCTTGGTAATAAGTCTCTGGGAAATCTCACAGAAATTGTTTCTCTTGGAAATCCCTCGGACACTTAACGTCCTTGGAAATCCCATGGAAACTTCTCGTCTTGGAAATCCCTTGGAAATTAATATCTCTTGGTTCTGTCCCTCGGAAATAAACTGTTTTCTTGTAGTGAAGCTATGGGATGCAAAATAGCTTAGCCAACAGATAAATTGTTGTTGGATAGGGATCTAGTCTCTTCTGAAGATGTATCCATGGTAAAATTTCCCAAATCTTGTTTTCTTTTGGTTACGTATATATCCAAGATATATATCTAATCTTTAGCTTCTTACATTTTAGCAAACCAATGAAGTTGAAACTCGAAAATGAAAAATATATGATTGGACTAATTAAGACGAGGAGGTTATTGCTGAAGGTCTCGTGTGCTCATCTAGTTCTAAAGAGATGGTTAGCAATATACCTCTTGGTCCAAATGTTGTTAGTATTCAAGTTCTGAAGGTGTTCAATGATAATGTTCATTTGTGGAGGCCAACTACTTATATGTATTTGATTGGTGATGCAGTTAACGAGAAAATCGCATGGCCAGTCCTAAATGTTGAAGTCATGGCTTCAACAACTACAGATGCAACACCAACTAACTTGGCAGCCAAAAAAAGAGCATCAGCTTCGAAACCAGACAAGCAAAAAGCTATTGAAATTAAGTTATGTCATTTATTTTTCTATTGATTGATGTTGGAACTTGCTTTGAGTTGTAGAGTCCAGGCAGCATGTGTAGATCATATAAGA